AGCTGGCAGCACGGCAGACGTGACCAGGAGGAGGAGGCTTTTGCTTGGAACGGGCAAAACTGGCGCCTACTTCTTCTGAGCAACCCTATAACCCAGTGGGGCATCTCAGCGGGGTGGGCTGGACTGAGCCGCTACAACACGGGCAATGGGGAAGGGGGGAAGGTGCAAGTTTGGTAAAGGGATCAGATGGTTGCTTCTTCCAGAGGGGTTCAGAAATGACTGTGTAGAGAAGGGGCAAGAGCTGTAAGGCTTGGAGGGCTCCAGGCGTAAGGAGCTGCCTCTGTCCCAGCAGGCCAAGGTATGGCCTGGGACCCATCTCGGAGGTGTCTCGGAGTGGGTGGCTCCACGTGCTGAGCTTGCAAGAGCGTGGAGAAATGGGAGCAGCCGGAGGAGTGTGCTCCTGCCTCCCAGGGTGCCGGGGAGAAGGTCCCCCCGGGCTGGCTGATGCACCAAGCTGCTGGTTGACCGGCGTGGTCTTGCACCGGAGCTAACGGCCCCGTGTCTTTGTCGTTCGCAGCGTGTCCGAGATGGCAAGCGTGCTGTCCAGGCGCCTGGGGAAGCGCTCCCTGCTCGGCACCCGCGTCTCTGCCCCCAGCTCCCTGGCGGACGGGGTGCTCGTGACCACCCAGCTCCCCGGCTTGCCGGCCGATCTCAGCCGAGTGTCTTCCCACGCAGCTCCGCGGGAGGACGGACCGTGCAAGGAGCGAGCGGAGGAGAGCAGCCGGGCGTCGCGCTTCCCGAGCCCCAACCGGCCACAGCTCCACGCGGGACAGCAAGTACGTAAGGCAGCTGTCTGTGTCCTCATGCGATGTGCTCTGGTGGGGCTGCTCTGAGCACTGGACCAGGTTGCCCAGAGAGGTAGTGGAGTCTCCTTCGCTGGAGATATTCAAAACCCGCCTGGACGCGATCCTGGGCAATGTGCTCTAGAGGACCCTGCTTGAGCAGGGAGGTTGGTCTAGATGATCTCCAGAGGTCCCTTCTAACCAAAACCATGCTGTGATTCTGTGATTCTGCTTGGAGGGGGAAAGTCCCGAGCCCCTTGGTGGTTCGCGTTCCAGCGTGGGTCTGTAATTATTGAAAGCTGGGGATGGACGTTGGCTGTAGCGCTCCGGCCTTGGCCGTGCCCGGGACATTTGGACCGGGTGAGAGTGTAAGAGTGGTTGCATTGGCTCCAGCAGAGATCCATCTCCTCCGGTCTCCTGTTTCCAATCCTAACCAAAAGTGGACTTCTGGAGGGGAGAATAAGAGTACGTGATACTTCCCTGCAGTGTTCTCCCAACCTCCAATCGCTTGTGGCTAAGGCAGGTAGTTTCCATACGCTTGACAACTCCCAGTGGATTTCTCTTTCATGAACTTGTCTAATGTCCCCTTTAACCCACGTTGGCTTCTGAATGCTCCCCATCCAGTGGCAGGGAGCCCCACAACTTAGTCACGGAGCTCCATCTTGGGCCCACGTTTGGGTCCATCTGCTGGTGGGAGCTGCAGAGCTCAATCTGAAGCAGCTTTTTAGTACGGGCTTGAGGGTACAAGGGTAAGTGGTGGATGCTCTGGAGACCGTGCTTGGACTGCGCTTTGTTGATGGTGTTGACCAACCTGGTAAAGCAGCTCTTGGGGAAGAGTGAGGTGTGATGGCTAGCCCAGGAAGGGATCTGGTCCTGCTGACGTGCTTAGGAGGGCCGGACCTTGGACTGGATGCTGTCTGTGGCAGGGCACAGCCTTGCTTCTTGGTCCACGGGAACGGTTCCCGTAAACGTCTGGCCAAGCAGCGTTGTCAGAAGGGAGCAGCGGGCCGCTGACGTAGAGCCAGGGTCTTGGCGTCTACCTGCAGGACTGTAAAATCCTTTCTGGGCAGAGCTTGTAAAATAAAGTGTAAATAAGGCCCCTGTTCAGTTTTTCTGGCTCCTGTGCCCGGTGCTGTCCTGTGGGGAGGGCAGATTCCTTCTGCCCCGTGTTTATTAAACATAGGACAGTGAGAGCTGTTTTCTCCTACGTGCTGCAGTGTTGAGGATTTTTCTTGCTTGCTTTGCTGCTGGCAATGGCATAAAAATAGTTACGGGTGGTGTTTTTGCCTACCAGTGAATTCTGTGTCGGTTGCTTCGTGGAGCCTAAGGAGGTGTTAGATGTTCCTCCCGTGCTGCATGTTGCTTGCCCTAGTTTAGGGGGCCAGCTGGTGGGGTTCGTGGGGAAGCCTCGCACCTTACTACCTGGGAATATCATCAAGGGACATGGACTGCTGAGGCTAAGGCTGGGATCAGGACCTTCTGCGTCCTGTGGCTGGGAACCTGGCCCTGATCCTTTTAACCCTGGTGCAGTGACTTCCTTTTTCTGCAGTGTAGTTTCTCCCACCTGAGATGGTCTCGCGTGCTCCCTTGGTCCCAGAACACAGCGCGTTTGCGCTCTGTCCATCCCGTATTGACTTCTTCGTGCAACGCCCGCCGCCTTTCCAGAAAGAGATGCTCTTGTTCCTATAAATAGCTGGAGACACATGAAGCATATTTCGGCACGGATACATTTCCATTAACAGAAATAGACTCATGGATGCGTCCATCAAGAGAAACTGAGACACTCTATGAAAGAGAAGGAGGTGAGGCTTGGACGCCTCCTCCTCTCTGAAAGAGCAGCGAATGGAGAAGTCGAGGGGTGCTTCGCCCAGGAAACCGCCATTCCCCTGTCCCCCTCGGGCTTTCATGTAATCCTTTGATCTACGTGCTGTTCTGCAAAGTCTGCGGTAATTGGGGGAGCCCTTGCCCCGCGATGTCACGAAGACCAAGCAAAATCAGGTCCCAAAACCAAATAGACAAATTCATTGGAGAAAAGTCCATCCAAAGTCGTCGTGCTTGGAGATGCGGCTAACGTCTGGCCCAGGAAATTCTTACGCTTCGGACTGCCAGCGTCCGGGAGCGTGTACCAGGGAAGGACAACCGCTGCCAGCGGCAGGATTCAGGTGTGGATGAGCCGAGGCAGCCGCTCCGGTTTTGAAGTACAAACTTTTGGGGACGGGCTCTGCCTTTGCGCTGAAGCCTCCTTCAGTCCCTTCGCCGCCACAGGATGGAGCAAGGACACGGCGCAGCGTTCCCCTGCTGTAAGGGCCGGCCGGTCGCTCGCCGGCTGGAGCATCCTCCCGCTGATGGAAAAACACCGTTCCGAAGGGAGCCAGGGAAAAGGGAGCCAGTTCCTCAGCTGACCGGTCGTCTTCCCCAGCTTGAAAAGCGAACCTTGTTTTCTTAACCCTCTCGAACGCCCAAACTCAGCGCTCCCTCCCTCTTCCAGGAGTGAAGTTTGCACTCTCTGCCTCTCTTCGGGGCTCATGCACCTGCTCCTTGGCCTCCAGGCCCTTCGGGAGCCCCCACGCCGTTACGTTAGTCATCTGGCACAACGTCCTGTTGCGGCAGCGTTGCATCAGGTCCGGGGTTTCCGTGAGGAGCTGCAGGAAGAGGAGGGGGGAATGCTGCGGTGGGAGGCGAGGCTGAAGACGCGCTTTCGCTGCGGCGTGAGGTCCTGCTCGGAGCGGTGGGATTTTGCGGTGGGATGGCAGGAGAAGCCTGCTGTGCGCGGGAGAGCGCGAGGAGCCGCTTGCGGG